ATATACAGCATAGGTTCAATAGATTCCTGGGAAGGATGAAGTACATGACATGACTTTTTTTTTTTTTTTGGTTTTTCGAGACAGGGTTTCTCTGTGGCTTTGGAGGCTGTCCTGGAACTCGCTTGGTAGTCCAGGCTGGTCTCGAACTCACAGAGATCCGCCTGCCTCTGCCTCCCGAGTGCTGGGATTAAAGGCATGCGCCACCAACGCCCGGCTCGACATGACATTTTGATGCTGTTCAAATAACATACAATTTAAAACTTACTGGTTATTTCTGTAGTTTCCTACTTACTTTATCATTTTGTGGTCAACCATTTGGTACCTGAAACCACAGACAATGAAACTGCATGTTACAGGTGTTACAGGGTCTACCGTATACATTTTTTAGGTTTAGTTTTTTGTTTTTCAACATCTATATGGAATCATATTTATCATTTCATACTGGAATGCTGACATAGCATTTTGAGGGACTTTTGATTATGTGTTGCTGAAGTTTGTTCATTTTCATTGCTGAATAGTATTCTGTTGTATAAATATACTACACTTTAGTATTTTGGTTTGTTTGTTTTTTTTTCCTCTTTTGGTTTTTCGAGACAGGGTTTCTTTGTGGCTTTGGAGGCTGTCCTGGAACTACCTCCTGTAGACCGGGAGGTAGAGACAGGATGATCAGGAATTAAAAGGTGGATTGAACTATATGAGATCTCGTATCCAGGAAAAAGAAAAAAATACTCTTGTGTTGTAGAATATTATTTTAAGATGTGTTACATTTGTTTATGCTGTGAAACATAAGATGTGTTGAATTCTTTTATGTTGCATTTGTTTAACTCTGTGAGACTGTGTCATTGCCTGTTTAAAACACCTGATTGGTCTAATAAAGAGCTGAATGGTCAATAGCAAGACAGGAGAAATGATAGGTGGGGCTGGCATGCAGAGAGAATAAATAGGAGGCACAATCTGGGAGGAGAACTAGAAGCCAAAGAAGGAGAGGAGGACTCGAGGGGACAGCTACCCAACCACACATCAAAACATGGAGTAAGAAATAAAGAAAGTTATACAGAAATAAAGTTAGAAGCCCAGAGGCTAAAGATAGATAGGACAATTTAAGTTAAGAAAACCTGGCAAGAAACAAGCCAAGCTAAGGCCAGGCATACACAAGAAAGAATAAGACTCTATGTGATTTATCTGGGAGCTTGGTGGCAGGGCCCCCCAAAGAGTAAAAGAATACAACCAACTACCCTCTTGAGCAGCAACTTAGACTAAATCCTTACCAATAGAATGTCCCCAAGCTGACAATTAACACATTTTCATTTCTTTTATCCTTTGATGAGTGGCACAAAGTCCAGAGAGCACCAGCACTTTGGCTGCCATAAGTGATAAATTGCCTAAACACAAAGGGCTCATTTTATCAGTCTAGGCTTGACCATGCTCTCTGTGTGTAGTGTGCTTGGCATTAACATAAATAAAGACCCATGGTTCTCTCTGAGATAGAAAATGGCAAGAATGTCATCACCTTTCTATGCAACCAAGTAGCTGGGATGACATCCCCTTATCGCACTACACCATGCTCATGGTTTATTTTATTTAGGGTGAGATTTGGTATAATATGCAAGATAACTAAAGTTGCAGTTGAATATCTTAGCTTATTAAAAGGTCATAGTATAAGTGAGTCCTAGCGGTAAGGGAGGCTTCACAACCTAGAGCTTGCCTCCCTTGAGCTGAGTGGCAGATTGTTGGTAGAAGTCTGGGGCCCTGATTAACACCACTGTTTACTCCTAAATATCTGTTTGACAAGCTATTTGTCATGGTGAGAACGTTGTTAGAACTTACAATTAACTTGGTTAACTGATAAGTATTATTAAAACCTGTAATCTACCTGATTTGTAACTGAGTTACTAACCCTTGTGTTAAAGCGAGAAATGATAACAGTGGCAAACATATTTTGCTGTTCCTACCAGAGACCCTCTTTCAAGTTGCTATTCCCTTGTGGCAGTGCTGCCTTAGCCAGTGTACTGTGGTTCCTAGTTTCCAGTAGACACTGACGAGTCAGGCTAAGCTTGTATAATCAGGCACATGGCTTGAACAAACCTAGTTTTACTAAGTTACAGGCAAAAGGTGGAACAAAGGTGTATTCTTTCTTTATTGTTTAAGTTTCCTTTCTCTTTTTTAAAGCCTACTGTTCATAGAAATACTAGCAATCTGTGCTGATATTTTGCTTATGATCTAATAAAGGTTGCCTGAAGGTCAGAATGGAAAGCTAGCCATAGCCATAGAGGCCAGACAGTGGTGGCACACACCTTTAATCCCAGCAGATACACTAGTTAACCATAGAAACTGAACAGTGGTGGTACATGCCTTTAACCCCAGTACTAGAGAGGTATATAAGACAGGAGCACAGGGTCTCAGAGTGTATTCAGTCAGCATTCTCAGTGAGTCTATGCAGCAGTGCCGTCAGCAGCAGTCTGAGGAGCAGTGCAGTCTGGAGATGCAGTCAGAGGACAGGATCTCCCCTTTGCTCTGAGCATTGGTGGAGGTGAGAACACTCTAGTGGCTGGTCGCTCTGCCTCTCTGATCTTCAGCTTTAATCCCAGTGTCTATCTATGGGTTTTTATTATTTGTGCTACAGCAATCAGTGTTCAGACCTCTGTCATTGGTCATGGATTACCATGAAAATTAGTGCTGAATGGTCCTTATTTAATTTTTTAGTTTATAGGGAGACTTTTTTTAAAACATGAAAATAATACATGCCCTTTCTTGTTTTGTTGGAACAGGTCCTGTCTTGTACCCTATACTGGCCTCGAACTCTCACTTCTGCCTCAGCCTCCCAGATGCTTTTTTTCTTATTATATATTTACTTTTTTTTTTTTTTTTTTTTTTTTTTTTGGTTTTTCGAGGCAGAGTTTCTCTGGCTTTGGAGGCTGTCCTGGAACTTGCTCTTGTAGACCAGGCTGGTCTTGAACTCACAGAGATCATCCTGCCTCTCCCTCCCGAATGTTGGGATTAAAGGCATTTGCCACCACCGCCGGCTAATGCATTTACTTTTTTATTTTTGTGTGTAGCAATTAGAGATAACTTGGGGTCATTTCTTTCTTTCCACCATGTCCCTGGGATTGAACTCAAATTTTGGGCTTGGTGGAAATTACCTTTACTGGATGAAGTATTTTCACTGGCCCAGGTATTTGTTATACTTTTGATATTGATACACAGTGTCATCTTCAGAGTTCACACTGGAGAACAACACAATCAAATTACAAAAGTTTCAGAAGGGACTAACAAAATGGCTTAGCAGGTAAGAGTGCTTGCTATGCAAATATGAGGACCAGTGTTTGGATTCTCAGCATCCAGGGAGCTGCCTACCTGCCTATAATTCCAGAACTCTGGAGACAGAGGCAGACAATCCCTGGAATAGATGCTTAGATAGACTAACCAAATGAGTGAGCTCTGGGTTCAAGTGAGAGATCCTGCCTCAGTATGTAAGCAGGATAGTAATGGGAGAAGACAGCTTACATTAACCTATCGCGCTACAAGCTCAGGAGCTCGTAGGGGCCACGCTCATTCAAGCCACCACATGTGGCAAGGGCCTTTACCCATGAAGCTGTCTTGTGGCCTTTTGTCTTTCTGAGACTGGTTTCAGTATGTGGCCTTGGCTGCTGTTTTGGTATTTGGCTTATACACCACATGAACTTCAAATATCCATTGTGCCTGGCTAGCTTGCCTATCCTTTTACTGTCAGTCCTCCATTTGAATTTTAGAGTCAGCCACCCCCAAGATTGTGCTAACGAGCTGGGTGAAGAACTAACCCTTCACAACATTTGTCTTCTCATCTGGGAGCATGGATAACCTTTTATTTATTTACTTATTCTTGAGGTATTATTTCATGTCTTTCTGTAGAGTTTTACATGCTCGAAGATTTTTCTTATGTTTAAGGTACTTTTATAGCTTTGTCACTGTTAATAAGACTTTATTTTTTGAGTCAGGGTCTCATGTATGTCAGTTTGGCCTCAAGCTCAACTTTATATCGAAGATGACCTTGACCCTGCTCTTTCTTCCTCTTGTGCTGAAATTACTGGCATGCATATGCTACAACATTCATTTTATGTAGTGCTGGGGCTGAAACCCAGAACTTTGTTCATGTTGGGCAAGTCTTATTTACAACTGAGCTATATCCTCAGCCCGAGTTTATGTTTAAATTAAAAAGTTCATTTTCTTCTCTCTGCCCTCCTGTGTGTGTGTGTGTGTGTGTGTGTGTGTGTGTGTGAGAGAGAGAGAGAGAGAGAGAGAGAGAGAGAGAGAGAGAGAGAGAGAGAGGTGTTTGAGTGTTTTCAGTGGTCAACTTTAGGTGTTGGTCCTTGCTTTTTACCTTGTTTGAAACAAGGTCTTTTGTTCTTTAGCTGGTTCCTGTACTTCAGGAAATTTTCCATTCTCTGTCTCCTATCTTACCATAGGAGCACTGGGATTTCAGATACATGCTATTGCCTACAGCTCTACCTGGGTTCTGGGGATATGAACTCAGGTTCTCATCCTTGCATGGCAAACCCTTTACTCACTGGTCCATCTTCCTAACCATAAAAGCTAACTTCCTATTGTTATTCCCATTGTACATGAAAGTATTGGTATTTAAATACCAGTCTTGTATCAGACTAGTATGTTTAGATGTTACTAGTTTTGATAATGTGTTGAAGTATTAGTACTTATATATTGACCTATGTCTAATATATTGAGTTCTTTTATTAGTTCTGATATTGTATCCAAGTATTGATATTTATACTTTGATTTTATGTGAGTAATAGTCTGAGTTCTGTTATTCAGATGTGTCACTTTGTAATTTTCAGTTGGTACTCTCCCATTTTTACTTAAAAAACATTGTATTATGGGTTATCTGATTTTAAAGCCGTGAGAATACTTAATGAAAGGAGATTCTTTCCCAAATAAAGGTAATAGAACATTTCTGAGATGGGAAATATTTATTATTGGGGGTTTAATGTATGATCTTTTCATTACAGATATGGCATAAAATATTTCTTCAAGATTGGACAGCTGGTAACCTGGTATTGTTGATAGCCTTAAGCTGACTTTATAGCCATAGAGAAACCTCACGGAATTGCATTGTTATTTTCTGCTTTACAACATTTCTGGCGCCTAAGTTCACCCTGCAACCATGTATGGAAGTGCTCGATCAGTAGGAAAAGTGGAACCAAGCAGTCAGAGTCCTGGGCGATCACCTCGGCTTCCGCGGTCTCCTCGCTTAGGTCATCGGCGAACAAATAGTACAGGAGGGAGTTCTGGAAACAGTGTTGGAGGTGGCAGTGGGAAAACCCTCTCAATGGAGAATATACAGTCCTTAAATGCTGCCTATGCTACATCTGGCCCTATGTACCTAAGTGACCATGAAAATGTGGGTTCAGAAACACCTAAAAGCACCATGACACTTGGCCGTTCTGGGGGACGCCTGCCTTATGGTGTTAGAATGACTGCTATGGGCAGTAGCCCCAATATAGCAAGCAGCGGGGTTGCTAGCGATACCATCGCATTTGGAGAACATCACCTCCCTCCTGTTAGTATGGCATCCACTGTACCTCACTCTCTTCGTCAGGCAAGAGATAACACCATCATGGATCTGCAGACACAGCTGAAGGAAGTGTTAAGAGAAAATGATCTCTTGAGGAAGGATGTGGAAGTAAAGGAAAGCAAATTAAGTTCTTCGATGAATAGCATCAAGACCTTTTGGAGCCCAGAGCTGAAGAAAGAGCGAGCCTTGAGAAAAGATGAAGCTTCCAAAATCACCATTTGGAAGGAGCAGTACCGAGTTGTGCAGGAAGAAAACCAGGTTAGTTTCATTTGTACATATATCTTTATGGGCTGGATCCATGTAGATAAATAAAATGAGGCATTCCCTGTCTGTCCTGTCTTAGATTTCCCCCAACTTTGTTCCTTTAGTTTTTATTTATCCTTTTTACTTTAGAATTCTGTTTCTATTCTCTTAGTCTTTTCTAGATTTGGTCCTGTACATGATCCACAGGTATGTTCAAGCAAAACACTCACACATAAATTAAAACAAACAAAAGATTTTTAGACTGGGAGTGGTGGCGCATGCCTTTAATCCCAGCACTCAGGATGCAAAGGCAGTCGGATCTCTTTGAGTTTGAGACCAGCCTGGGCTACAGAGTAAGTTCTAGTATAGCCAGAACTACACAGAGAAACCCTGTCTGGAAAATAAACAAACAAAATCTTAAAATTTTTTTGAGTACTGCTTTGGCTACATAGTAAATTCAGGGCTAATTTGGGGCTATATAATGAGACCTTGTCTCAAAATTAAAACCAAACTAACACAGGACAGCTATATGTTCAGTGGAAGAGCAGTTTCCTAGCATGTAGAAGGAGATTCTTGGACCTGTCTTGCTGCCTTCAGATTGCTCAGAGTGCTTCAGGGTTGCAATTTCATGAGTCATCAACTGTATTGGAATGGACTTTATGGTGACACAGTTACATTTGAGTCATCTCTGTCCCTGTAAGGAACCCCTTGCACATATATTTGTAAGTAACCTTAATAAAAAAAAGATTCACTGGTTCACCAAAGTAAATGAATAAAAGGTTCAATATGTTTTTAAACTTCAGTATGTAGTTTGGGCTGGCTTGGAGCTCTTCTGCCTCCACCCCCTACATGCTAAGATTTATGTTAGCTTGCCTGACCACCAACCTTTTCAAGAGTAGATTCATTGTCTCTCAGTCTATCTCTTTCTCTCAGTATATAAATTTAAAGCAGATTTGGTGTTAACCAAAGATGCTATTATTGAATTGCCTACTCATCAATGTACCTTGCTGAAAATATAATGGACAATAAGGTAGTTTTATTGCCAAATAACTTGGAAATGTCTAATTTATTAAGGAAAAAAGTTATTGGCATATTTTTTCTTATGTCTATGCTTTAGAGTATGGGTATTGGGAGGGAAATCCAGTGCAGTACCCTTTCTCCAATTATCATGCTACATCTAAAGGCAAAATATTTAATCTTTTGAAAAGACAATTATGGGTACTTACCATTTTTCTGAAAAAGAAATAGTCCGCAGGTTTATCGTGCCAAGAAAACGATTATGTGCTGAAGAGGGTGAGCACCGCCTTATCTGGGTCCACCCCATGCCCTAATTAAACACTAGTGCACACCAGTGCTGGCAGAGACATTCTTCCCAAACCACTGTAATTACCACAGAGTTCTAAAATTGTGTAACTTCAGTCCAAAAAGCAAAGGGTGCAATTTTAAAGACAGTACAGTGAGATACAGAGACTGAGAATGCTAATTAATAGATTATAGTCAGCTAGCAGTGGGCCCCTAATTAAATAGTGCATTCATTATCTTCTTCGTAGCTCCCGGAGGTCAGACGTCTTTCATTTGTGAAGAAGACTTGTTTATTAGATTTTATAGCAATTAAATACATTTCTGTATTTCAGTTTGAGGTTGGGGATTTTGGTTCATTTTAAATGTTTGATCTGATTGAGCTGGGTCCAGAATCCAATCAGTCTAGAAAACTTATTTGCTTAGGATTGGCTGCTGAGATATTTTTATTTCTCAGACTCCTTTTGTTACTTTACTTTCAGATAGCTTATGATTGGAGAGTTAGTAATGAGAGCGAGTGTGTCATATATGCTTTGATAGAGAAGTCCTTTTCTTCTAAAAAATGATGACTAAGGAAGACTTTAGTGTAAGCTTGATGGAGAAGAATGAAATCTTCCTGTGAGTTTTATGTGATCACAGAGCTAGTGAGAAGCTTTTGGATACGTTACATTTTAGATTTTATTTTAATTAGCTATTGTAATTTTTTTTTTTTTTTTTTTGGTTTTTACGAGACAGGGTTTCTCTGTATTGTTTTGGAGGCTATCGGTCCAGCCCGGCCTCCAACTCACAGAGATCCACCTGCCTCTGCCTCCCGAGTGCTGGGATCAAAGGTGTGCACTACCACCGCCTGGCAGCTATTGCAATTTTTAAAAAAAGGGTTGTTTATGTATGAGTGCTTTGTCTGTATGTAAGCCTGCACACCAGAAGAGGACATTAGATGCCATTAGACGTGGTTGTAAGTCACCGTGTGGTTGCTGGAATGGAACTAAGGACCCCTAGAAGAGCAGAACAGCCAATATTCTTTTTTTTTTTTTTTTTTTTTGGTTTTTCGAGACAGGGTTTCTCTGTGGCTTTGGAGGCTGTCCTGGAACTCGCTCTGTAGACCAGGCTGGCCTCGAACTCACAGAGATCCACCTGCCTCTGCCTCCCGAGTGCTGGGATTAAAGGCGTGCGCCACCAGCACCCGGCTAACAGCCAGTATTCTTAACCACTGAGCTGTCTCTGCAGCCCTTTGTTCTTCTTTCCTGATTATGCCCTGTAAGAGTTTGATGTGTTGAATTTAGTTGGATGCTTATTTTAAAAATGGTTATTTGATGGTAGAGGAGATGGCTCAGTTGGTAAAAGGCAAGCATGAGGACCTGAGTTTGATTCCCATATATCATGTAACAGCTGGACATGGTGATATGCACCTGTAGGTCCAACACAGAAGGAGACAGGGGGATCTCTTCAGCTTGCTACCCAGCTAGTCTGTTGGCATTCACAAGCTCCATGTTTAAAGAGAGATGCAGTCTCAAAAAAAATAAGGTGGAGAATGATTCTGGAAGGCATCTGACATCAAGTCTTAGATTCTATACAAACACATGGATATGTGCTTGCATACTTGCATGCTCACCTGCACACACACACACACACACACACACACACGCACACACACACACAATGATTATGTTAATGCCCTTTCACTGAAAACTTGTTTGAACAGAACATTCTGTTCAATATGGTAGGATGACAAGTGAAGGGCCTTTAATTTTTTTTTTTGATTTTTGCTTAAATTGTGTGTGTGTGTGTGTGTGTGTGTGTGTGTGTGTGTGTGTCTTTGCAGACATGCATGTGCCTTGGTGCATGTGTCAGAGGAAAACTTTTTTTGTTTTTCGATATAGGGTTTTTCTGTTTAGCAACCCTGGCTGTCCTAGAACTTGCTTTGTAGTCTAGGTTGGTCTTGAACTCACAGAGATCTACCTGCCTCTGCCTCCCGAGTGCTAGGATTATAGGTGTGTGCCACCACTGCCTGTCCAGAGGACAACTTTTGGGAGCTGGTTTTCTTCTTTCATAGTGGGTACTGAGAAGCACACTCAGGATCAAGAGATAAATTCTTTTGCCTGCTGAGCCATCTTGATAGATGTTTTCTTTTTGCATGGAATATTTATTCTTTTTGGAGTTTGATGCTTCTTTTCTTCTGTTGAGGTACTGAGGATTGAACTCAATGTCTTCTACATGATAAACAAGTGCTCTGCCACTGAGCTATACCCCTAGCCTAGGATTTTATTTTTGGTTGTGAGCCTAGCCTTTAACGGCTGAGCCATCTCTCCAGCCCAGGCTTTTATTTATTAGACCTTAGCATGCATGGAAATATGTAAATGAGTATGAGACATTTCTTCTTGTAGAACTATATTTACTTACCTGGGATGTAGCAGGATAATTGGGAAAAATAATTAAGTGATTCACATAAAGTTGCATAAATATCTGATATAGTTTACTTGTAAGGGGTATTATTAAGGATATTATTTTCCAAAGAATTGGAGTTTCTTAGTCTGTTCTTTCTCCTTTTGAATTCCATGGTGTAATCTAGTATGGGATTCTTTTTAAAATTTAAAATTTGAATTTTGTCCTTTGCTTTTCTGAAACTAGGCCTCTCTACACTGGCTTTTGATTTTTCAACTGGGCATTGAGTAACAAGCCTTGTTCGTACTGAACAAGTGCTGTATCACTGAGTTGCAGTTCACTAGTTTCATTACAGTAGAACAGACTTGTTTTTGAGGATTTGCTAATTTATCATAAAATTTTAGGACAGCAGCTTAAGTATGATTTGGAAGACTCACGTTTTATTCTCTTTTGGCAAAAAGAATCAGGAAACGCATTTAGTCTTTATTCAGAGTAATCTTTATTTTTTTTGTAGTATTCAGGATCAGGGTGCCAGCTTTTTGTTTGGTAGGCAAGCACTTTATCTCTGAACCTTTCCCCAGCCTTAGCTATAGTAATCTCCTCTGTCATGTGATTTCCAGGGACTAAATGTAAGTTATTGGTCTGTAGTAGGAATAATATAAACCAGAGTCAGATATTGGGATTCAAGCTGAAGATCAGAAAAGCAAAGCAGTCAGCCACTAGAGAGTTCTTACCTCTACCAAGGCTGGGGCAATCCTGTCCTCAGTGTAGCTGGAGACTGAATGTTCTCCACCAAAAACTTCAGACTGCTCTCTCCTACACTGGTCCTCAGACTCATTCAGCTCCTGTCTCCTCCTGCCTTATATTCCTCTCCAGTGCTGTGATTAAAGATGTGGGATCCCAAGTGCTGAGATCACCTTGTGTGACCTCTGTTTCCTTTTAGGACTGGATCAATTTTTCTTTTGTAGCTCAGTGTGGCCTTGACCAGAGATCTGTCTGCCTCTCTCCTGAGTGCTGAAATTTAAGGTGGGTATCACCACTGACTGGCCTCTATGGCTGTGGTTAGCTTAGCACTCTGGTCTTCAGGCAAGCTTTATTTGTTAGATCATAAACAAAATATCATCACATCTTTTTTTAAAAAATATTTCTTTATTTTGTGTGTATCTATATACACTCACGCGTGTGCGTGCGCGCACGCACACACACGCACACACAAACACGCGTACACACACATGTGCGCGCGCGCATACACACACACACACACACACACACAAACACACACACACACACACACACACCATAAGTGTACCTGGAACCTGTGGTGGTCAGAAGAG